ACTAAAAATACAAAATTAGCCGGGTGTGGTGGCATGCAATCCCAGATACTCGAGAGGCTGAGACAAGAGAATTGCTTGAACCTGGGAGGTAGAGGTTGTAGTAAGCTGAGATCACACCATTGCACTCCAGCCTGGGCAACAAGAGCCAAACTTCATCTCAAAAATAAATAAATAAATAAAATACAATAAAGTTCATGTTTAGAAATAAAACATTAAAATAAGCTTCCTCCAAGAGCAGAGAAAAGGTTTGATGTTTGAGGAACAACATTTGAATAAGTACTTCTAAAGCCAGATTAAGTTTTTAAGCAGTTGCTAAAAAATTAATGAGGTTTAATGTGACCTATTTAGGAGAAACGGTTCTTTGCTATGTTCTATTAGAAGGCTAATCCTCCTATGGAAAAAAAAAAAAAAAGCAGAACCCTATTTCTTTACTCCTTCTTTATTGACTCTTACCTGTCTACAAAAGCAAAGGGAAAATACTGCAAGGAAAAAGAGCATAAAGTGGGTCAGCAGTGTACAGAGTTATAGGGGAAGAGAGTCACACCTACCTTTACGGAAGACAAGTTGAGCTGAAAAACAGGGGTTACTTTTGCCCTAAAACAGCAGAAGGCCCCGTTCCCCTTTGTAGATGCTGACGTTGTTTAATGGTTAGAAGTGGACATCGTTTAAATCCCCAGCTTACCAGGTTTCATCACCTCACTTCCCCTCTCTAGAGTCCTATCAGGATGATATTTGCGAGGCACCGTCTAACCCAAGAGAGTCCTGTGGTGTCCTCCAACAGGAAGATGCCCTGGACCCTGTGGATGGTCAGGGGATGCGATGTGACTGCCAGGGTGGCCTGGCCACTCCCAACAGACCACAAATGCTGACTTCAGAATCTCTGGCACTTTCCAAAATGTGGCTGAGCAGTAATTTGGAAGCCTAAATCCTGACTTCAGGAATTCATAAGAACAACCAATGTTTTATAAACTCAACAGAAAGTAAAATAAACAAACCCAGGGTTTTACGCTCCCTCTTGTTATTTTTATGGCAATCTTTCAAACTAGTTCAAAATGTTCAATCCTCTGCCCTCTCAAAACTACTGAGTTGGGGGATTGGGAGGGGTGGCAAACAACTCAATAGTAACCAGCATACACTGCAATTCACCATAGGGAAGAGCTAAGGAGATCTGGTGGTGAAAGAGTACAGGTGGCTTTCAGGCTGACATTGAAGTCTCTCTTCTTCCCAACTTTTTCACTGAGGAGGGCCCAGCAAAGAAAACAAGGATGTTTATATTTACCCAGAAGTGTGCATGGCAATTGACCATCATGGTTCTCTCAATTAGCTCATCAGGACATTCCAGAAGGTGATGCCCAGAGACCACACCAGCATTATTGACCAGGACCGACACTTCGCCAACCTCCTTGCGCACTCTTTCAGCTGTCAGGTAGACATTCTCCCTTTTCCCCACATCACAGGTGTAGGTAAAAACCTGCAAGTTACAGTGGGGCAGAATTTCTTCCTCACCATTCCCAGCTGTCCTCAGAAGTCCAGATGAGGAGAAAAAAATGGAAAAGAGAAGGGAGTGCAGAAAGTGAGTCACATGGTGATCAGTAGGACAAAGATCACACAAAACAAAAATACTACAGTGAGCTTCAAATTTCTAACGCCGCAAGGCTTGCCAACGACTGAGCTTACAGCTGCTTTCCTCCCATGAAGTCTCTGGGAATTACAGCAATTTACTGGATAACTTTGCTGAGAGGAAAGTCATGTAATTGTGACAACCCCAATACAAGTAGACCACATGGGATCAGCTTGCTGGAGCTAAAGACACCTGCAAAGAACTGATCTCAGCCCAGAGTTCAGAGAACACACACACTACATACTCCTCTTTTTGGGGGAAACAGTGGCCAGAAACAGTCTTACTCTTTATTATGAGAACCCTCAAAATGGAAACTCACTTTAAGGTTCACAAATCAAAACTGCAATTAGTAATCTGAAAGCATCCAAAGCCAAGAATGAATCCACAATTTCTAATGAAGAAGTAGGCGTCACTGGTTTGTTCTAACTGGGGTACCAAGTCCTCTGAGAAGTATTCTCACAAATCAAGTTATAGGTAAATATACAATTTTACCACATAAGAACTTGACAATTTAAAAACCAAAATCGGTATCCTGGAAAATGAATACCCTCATCTTAGGTTTTGGCAGGGGGCACAAAAATCTGTATTTGCTACCCCTCCATATCTATACCAGTGAAAATGGAACATTTTCACCCTTAAATTTAAAACGCAGGTATCAATAAGTTTGGTAATAAATTATCAATACAGGGGAGAAGTCGTGCCCAAGTCAATTTTCTCCATACAGGTAAATGTTTTCCCTAAAAATGAAAAATTTTGTTAAAAGCAAAAGCCATTTATCCAATTTCCCAGACCAATACTTATAATTAGTTACGGGCTTTGCTTTGGCTTAAAAAAAAATCTCGAGTTCAGGTTAGTTAACAAGTATCCAGAAATGCAGATTTCCTGGGGTGACCAAAAACATGAAAGATATTTACAAAGAAGCCTAAATCCTCCAAGCGCTTTCTCTTAGGAAGCAAGGCGTTTTTCAATCCCGCTCAGGGAGTGTAACTAAAGCACTTATCGCTGGCGAAACAATGTAATTCTGTTCCTCTGGCTAAAGTTATAGTGAAACCATCAATACTGCCCTCGTCTAAGGGGTTCAGTCCACAGTAACACAGACGCTTCTTCAGTTCTTCAGGCAGAACTTCCCAGAGACACTTTAGTTTCCCATCGCGCCCCTTGCTAAGTCGGAGCGAGACATTTCTCTGGGATCCAACCCGTGGTAACAAGTTTCCCCCACCTTCCCCACCCTCAAAGGGCTTAGGAAATCCCCCAATGGTCCCCTGAGAGACCTAACCTCTGGGAGGGCTGGACACCTTACCCCTGCTAATACAGAGGAGATAGAGTTCCTTTATCAGGGAGCAAATTCCACCCATCTCCCAGAAGACCGGAGGGGTGTTCCTTTCCTCGACAGCGGGGTTTGGGGCCTGACGTGGTAGGGCGCGGGGTGGGGAGAGGCTTGACCCAACAATGCTCCCGCGCGGGTCCGGGTTACCTTGCAGCGCGGCGGCGTCGGCCGCCTCCAGGTCGCGGTAGATGTGGCGCACCATGCCCGCCGTCTCCTCGTTGCTCTGCGTGTTGATGTCCCAGAGCACCAACAGCGCCCGGCGCCGGGCGAACTCCAGAGCAAAGAGGCGGCCCAGGCCGCTGCCGGCGCCGGTGATGAGGCACACCTGGCCCGCCACGCTCTTCTCCTTGGGCCGCACCAGCCAGCGCGCTGCGGCCAGCACGAACGCCCAGAGCACTTTGAAAGTGACCACGAAGAACTCCACCACGATGTTCATCGCGACGGCCGGGGCCCCGCACCAGCCCAGTGCCTGCGTCCGCGCCCACCCCGAGCCCGGCAGTCGGGCTCCCGGCGTCTGGGCGCTTGTCACAGAGGCCGGTACTAGAAGGCTGCGCCCCGCGCCCACCTCCGAGGTGCCCGCCGGGCTGGAGTGCGCGGCGCCGCTCCCTGCCTGCGCGGGGCCACTCCCGCCCGGGTTCGGCGCGGTGGCCCAGAACTGTGCCCGCCGCGGCAGTCACCCGGCTCGGCGCCTCCTGCCGGCAGCCGCCCGACCGTCCTGCAGCGCCCGGCCGGCCGGCTCCGCTGCAGTGGCAGTGACAGCCGCGAGTTAGGCGACGCGCGCTGCCCTCATGGCCAAGCCGCTGCCGCCCGATAGTCCCCGGAGCCCGCGCGCCGGCTCCCTCTCACCCCGGGGGAGGGGTGCGCAGCGGTGGTGGCACGGGCCAGCGGGCCGCCGCGGGAGGAGTTGTCAACTCGACCCAAGTTGCGAGAGGGTGGGAGAGTGGGGGTGCGGGGCGGCGGAGCGCCGGGAAGGGAAGACTCGATCGGCGCAGGCGAGCGCTGCCCAACGCCCTGCAGCTGCCCCTGAGGGCTCGCGTCCCCCTGCCCTGCACTCCCAGCGGCTGTCACTCGGGCAACCGGCTCCGCAGCGCAGCACCGCTTGCAAGTCGGAGCGCTCCGGGCCGGCTCTGAGCGGGCTCCACGCTCCGCGCTATATAACCCACGACCGGGAAGAGCCCGCGGCAGCCTCGGCATCGGCCCTCCCTCCGCCCGGCCTCCCCGCCCCCGGGCGCACCCCGCCCCCGGCCCAGCCCCCCGCCCGCCAGCGGTCCGCGGAGCCGAGCGGGGTAGCCCTTCTCACACGGCCGTGGCCGCAACCTCAGCCCTCTTCGCACCTCCCTTCGCAGCTCACGCCCCCTCCCGTGGGGTGTCCCGGCCTTCGCCTGCCCATCTCGGCGGTCAGCAGAGCCCCGGCCATCCTCCTCCAGCCGTCCGGTCCCCGCTGGTCCCTGGCTCGCCACTTTTCGTTAACCAGGGCACTCCGGACCGCCCCGCCTGCGATCAGGCGCCGCGAAGACAGCCCTGGGGGCTGGAGCGACAAGGACCTCGCGGCGCGGCGAAGGGGGTGTAGTCTACGACTACCGCGGCAAGGAACCGGGAGGGCGGCCAAAAGTGACTTCGAATTGCAGCTAGCCGTTTGGAACATGGCCCAAAAGACTCTCATTTTCCTGGCTGGAACAGCTGCCGCGGTGCTTGCCTGCGGTCCCGGTCAGGCGTTGCCCTCCGGCCGGGCGGGCAAGGAGTGGTGTATGCTGGGATCTGTAGTTCGCCCTCGTGAAGCTCGTCTTGGGAACATTATGAGGCGAAACCCGAGCCTTATCCTGTCAGTGCAGCATGGGGATTAGGACCCCGAGTCGCCAAGGTGTCAGCACTCTTTGCTCTTGAGGTGATTAAAAAGTCTAGTCAAATGCATATATTTTCTTCAAACAAGTTTTACCCGAAAGTTGGTTGGAAGAGTCTAAATGAGGGCGTTTTAAATTTGGCGTCTGCTAGGCGGCTTTTTAGTTCTGGATTCTTTTCCGGCTTATCCTAAGACACCTGTGAGTAGCGGGGCTTCTCTCTCGAAGTCTTTAAGTGGACAGTGCGCATGCGCGAACTTCCTCTTTTTCCGGCTGGAACGATGGAGGGTGTAGAGTAAGTCGCTTCTTGTTCTCTCGAGAATCCTTCTCCATCTTCAGAGCCAGACGCTTTTTGTGTCCGTTTTTCTTTCTCTGGTTGTAGCTGGCACCTTTGCCCACCTCCGTGTTTGTTTGTGACGTTTTGTGACACCAGTGGGGATCCGAGGCTAGCGTTGGGATGCAGGCGGCCTTAGGACGAAGGTTTTGGAGATTCTGGGAACAAGATGTCGGGGTGCAGTGTGTGTGGAATCCGTCGGTTGGCTGACAGCCCAGTCCTCGGTAGAGGGCCTTTCGGGGAGGCGCAGAGCTTCTGAATGGAGTTTGTCTTTGGCTGGTGGTTGGCCTGGGCCTCCCTGCCGCCAGGCGTTTGCTTTCAACATGTGGATCCCGAGACTTGAACCAAAGTGGCGGTGTTTTTTGGTTTTTGGTTTTTTTTAGCCTAGTGTGGGGGGTTAGTGCCTTGCAGCAAACTTTAAGCTAGTATATTTTGTTATGAAGCGGTTGGTGTGTTTTTTGTTTTTTAATTAGTCGTCGGAGGCCGGACCTGTTGGCTGGAATAGGTAAAAGCGTATTACTGTTGTCAGACTTGGGATTGCATTTTAGGCAATGTGGTTGGTGTTAAAGGTTATTGACGTGAAGTTAAAATGCGCATCGCACACTGTAGCAAGCTAGAGCAGGTAAACTTACGAGTGGCTAAAACCAGTGAAGGATTTCTGTTAAAACAACACACATGCACAGTTCGGGTGTAATACAGCGCTGTGAACTTTATGAGCTATTGATAATATTTGTTGTTGGTTAACCTTAGAGAGAAGAAGAAGAAGAAGGTTCCTGCTGTGCCGGAAACCCTTAAGAAAAAGCGGAGGAATTTCGCAGAGCTGAAGATCAAGCGCCTGAGAAAGAAGTTTGCCCAAAAGATGGTAAGTAAACTTTTTGAGGCACTAGGATATAAGGAGACGCCTTGTTGGGATTGAGAATGAGATGAATGTTCTTGGCAAGGTTTATTTCCTAACTGTACCTAGTAATTGCTTAGCTCCCAAATGTGACAATCTTAAATGAAGGTAGTGGGGTTTTTTTTGGTGGGGGGGGGCGGGGTGGGGGAAGAATGTAATTGCATACTATGGCAAGAAAAGATGTAAAGGAAAAGTGTTTTAGTTTTTAACGACTAGCATTGTTAATTGTGATTGGGAACTAAAAATCATAAATAACTGGTGATTGATTTTCAGCTTCGAAAGGCAAGGAGGAAGCTTATCTATGAAAAAGCGAAGCATTATCACAAGGAATATAGGCAGATGTACAGAACTGAAATTCGAATGGCGAGGATGGCAAGGAAGGCTGGCAACTTCTATGTACCTGCAGAACCCAAACTGGCGTTTGTCATCAGGATCAGAGGGTAAGCTCAGTTTTACTTCATTCGGGTTCAAAAGGGAGAGTTAGCACTGGTAAACAAAACAAACTTCACGTTACTTCTAAGAGCCCTGATTCTGAAACACAAAGTAACTATTTTGGGGGAAGCTAGAGCAAGGAGGGTGGTGATCAAATGGTTTAGTTGCAAGCCATGTTCCCCAAGCTCCTCTTCCTTCTCTTAATCTCTTATAATACAGAAGTTCAGTGTGTAACACGAGAGGATTCCTATCTGTTTAGGCAGGACTTGATGTTCAAAACTGTAATGGCTACTATTAACAAAAATTTCGAGGTCTGGTGCCGGTGGCTCACGGTATAATGATCCCAGCACTTTTGGGAGGCCGAGGTGGGCAGATCACGAGGTCAGGAGTTCAAGACCAGCCTGGCCAACATAGTGAAACCCTGTCTCTACTAAGTAAAAAAATTAGCTGGGCATGGTAGCACGTGCTTGTAGTTCCAGCTTCTCAGGAAGCTGAGGCAGGAGAATGGCTTGAACCCAGGAGGTGGAGGTTGCAGTGAGCCAAGATAGGGCCACTGCACTCCAGCTTGGGCAGCAGAGTAAGACTTCGTCTCCAAAAAAAAAAAAATTTTTTTTTTTTTTTCCAATGAAAGTCAAATGTATTTTTTCATCCCTTTTCACCACAGTATCAATGGTGTGAGCCCAAAGGTCCGAAAGGTGTTGCAGCTTCTTCGCCTTCGTCAAATCTTCAATGGAACCTTTGTGAAGCTCAACAAGGCTTCAGTTAACATGCTGAGGATTGTAGAGCCATATATTGCATGGGGGTAAGTCTAAATTGGCTACATAGCATCCTGAATTTTAGATGTTTTAACAGTAGTAACCTTACTTATGTTTGCTCTTTCATTTCAGGTACCCAAATCTGAAGTCAGTAAATGAACTAATCTACAAACGTGGTTATGGCAAAATCAAAAAGAAGCGAATTGCTTTGACAGATAATGCTCTAATTGCTCGATCTCTTGGTAGGTTCTTTTTGGGGGAAAGATTGGTATTAGACCATGCAATAACTTCCTGTCCTCTTGTGGCCATACATTTCTCACTATTGTGAATCTTCACATACTCCCTGTGATTCTTGATTAAGCTTAAAGAAAACATAAGGCATGGTTTCATTAGCTTGAACCTTAATCTCTATAAAGCCATGGATTTACCTTGTTAATTCATGGTATGTTTTCATCTCACAGCCTACATTTGCTCTTGTTGTGTGCCCTAAAGTCTAATAATAATTTCAAAACTTTTTGCAACTTCAATAACCTTAAAAATAACCTTAAAATATTTAGGAAAATATGGCATCATCTGCATGGAGGATTTGATTCATGAGATCTATACTGTTGGAAAACGCTTCAAAGAAGCAAATAACTTCCTGTGGCCCTTTAAATTATCTTCTCCACGGGGCGGAATGAAGAAAAAGACCACCCATTTTGTAGAAGGTGGAGATGCAGGCAACAGGGAGGATCAGATCAACAGGCTTATTAGAAGAATGAACTAAGGTGAGAGACTACATCCTGAGAAAGATGGAGTTAACCCTAGAGTAAAAGTGGTTAGCAATCTTGAATACTTTCTCCATTAAATATTGATGGGGGTTTGATTGAATTTTAATCAATGCTTTTGTTGAGGGGCAGGGATCAACTATCTTAGTGATTACAGTTGGTTTGTTTACTGCTTTTGAGGACATTTCTGGAGGAAAGGAAAGCCCAGTTTGGGATTCTTTAAAAATGGAAATTGGGTGATTTTAACTGTCTGGTTTATGTTAATTGTTAGCTGCCTAAAGTGATTTTTAATGGTTTTGTTTTTTTCCTTTCAGGTGTCTCCCATGATTATTTTTCTAAGCTGGTCAGTTAATAAACAGTACCTGCTCTCAATTGAAATGTATTGTTGTATTTGTGATTTCTTTTGTTAGCCTTTGTCTTCCCTTCACTATGGTGGCAAGTCCTGTGTGTGATAAAATTAAGCCAAATCAACAGCCCATTACATGCAAAATCAGGGTTTAGTTTGTGTGAAGGACATCTCTTGGGTTTTTAAAAGGCTTTTCTCAGCTACTCAGGGCGCACAGGCTATGGGGTAGCCCTGCAAAAAATGAAATGTTTTAAGAACGCTTTTCTCTACAAAAGATCTTAGCTTTTTGTCTTTGAACTGTGCTGAGTGATTCAAAATGGGTTTATTCTAAGCCTGTTTCACAAGTATTTGTACATGATTTGTAGGTAAGATAATAACTTTGGTTTATGGAAAAAATTGAATTTAGTTCTAAAATTGATTTCTCAGGCCTTAGCTTGTTTATAAACTACTGTGTAAATGGGTTGTTTTCCTCTTGCATTCCATTTTTGTGTTCTTTTGCATCTTTTGCAATACTTAGTTACTAATAATTGTTTCATATTGTGGTTACTATGAAGGAAGAAATGAAATTTGTGCCCAGGGATGTAAATTATTTCTGAGCACATGGTGAAATTAATGAGCAAAAACTTGAAAGGTTTTTGGTATTTTATAAATAGCATTCCTCTATATGTCATGTATCATCTCAGACTAGTGAACAATGTATAGAGTGTAACACGAAGTACATACAATAAAAGTAAAAATGTTTTGTGGTCCTCATTTGTGTCAAGGGTCTGATGCATTGTGAAACCCGTCCTTTGGTGATTATTTTGCTACTATTGCACCACAATGATTTACTGCTTTTTAATATTCACAGGTTGCTAGACAAACACAACTTCTTTGAGTTCTTTATTCCTAGTTTTGGGAACTATTTCTCTGGATTAGTAAGTTTGTTTAGGATCAGTGAACTTTGGAGAGAAACCAAGTTTATAAAAATCATTTTACATATATATGAGTATCAATGTTTTGCCAGATATTTTTTGTCTTAAACGGTAATCTCTAGGTAGAACCAAAGAGTTTTTTTTTTTCTTTGTAGAGATGAGGTCCCACACCAGCCTGTGTTCCCCAGCATGGTATTGAACTCATGGCTTCAAGCAATCATGCTGCCTCAGCTCCATGAATAGTTGGGATTACAGGCATGACCCACTGTCCCCAGCGAGTTTGGTTTTTTTTTTTAAGTTTTAAAATTCAGTTTTACTGCTTTGGTAAAGAATACAGTTCCCAGTGTTTGCACATCCAGTGTCCTGAAGGGTGGTTGTACCTCAGATGTTAGCTCTGTTTGGCTTCCAGGTTTTAGAGGAATAATGAGGGCCATCAGTGGCTTCTGCAGGGTCAGAATTAAGACTAACGAAACTTTCTTCATTAGAATGAAGCTGTACAGATGGCGTATTGCTTACTTAACCTGGGTGCAGGTGGGTGGGTGCATGAAATGTAGAAAGTCTTCATTAGGATGGGAATAAGTAGCACTTTATGTACAAAGTGATACTTAGGCAAAGCTTTTTTAAAAAAGATTAATGGCCTTTATATTTTAGAGCAGTTTTTATTTCACAGTAAAAGTGAGCGGAAAGTAGAATTCCCATATACCCAGTATCCACAGGTACAACCTCCACTGTTGACTACCTACCACCATGGTGGTACATTTGTTAAAGTCAGTAAAACTGTTGATGAACTATCACCCTAAGTAGTAAAGCTGTTTCCTCTGGTCAGGGGGGGTTTAGATTTAGGAATACCTGAAATAAAATGGGCAAAACATTGACTATCCTGTGTGCACACCTTTTCTGCTTATAAGTCCTGGAATATCCAACCTTCTTTTTCATTTAAATCACTTTTTAAGTGTGGCCTAGGGCCAGAGAGGATGGGGAAATGTGGGAGGGGGTTGCACAGAACCAGGATTCCCATAAAGAACTCTGAAGCAGGGGATTTGAGGGACCTATGCAGCTTGACGCTGTGAATAGGAAAAACTTAAAGCATTGCTGTCAGGTAACAACTTTAGCTCTCAATTACCTAGGGAGTAAAGTGGGGTAACCAATCTGCTTTTATGAGAGGATTTTGAGGACAGTAATAGGCATGAAAATGTGAGCTGGTAAAATCTATTCAAATGCAGGTTATCACCTGATTGGGAAACTCACCTTTTCTAAATGTCATTGCTTTCAAGGGATCCTTCTTTGGAAGGCCTAACCAACCTTAGGGGTGAGGGCACCCAGTAGGTTCTATAAGATTTCACCACATATATGTTTATTTCCTGTTTATCCTTCTAAGGTCCGGCTTTCTCTAGTGGATTGTCCCCTGGGATCTCAGTTTTTATGAAGTTGTCTTGGACTCACTGGCCTTTAGCCAGTGTTAACCTGCTAATTTCTTTGAAGTTCATTTGTGGTGGCTAGATTAAGAGTGCTGGCTTCAAAGCCAGACTGCTTGGGTTCATATCCAGTCTCCACTTACTTGTTAGCTTGGGCCAATAAATCTGTCTCAGTTTCCATATCAGCAAAATGGAGATAATTGTGCCTAATTTCATATGATTTTAATGAAGATTAAATGTTAGAGGTCATGCAAAATGCTTAGAGCAGTGCCTAGCTCAAAAGTGTTCAATACTGCTATGCAATATAGCTTCAGCACTGAGTATGGGCACACAACAGTGAATTATAGAAAATGGCCTCTGCTTTCAGGTGTTGGGAAGACAGGCAACAGATAACAGTGAAATGAGTGCTCTGGGGGTGTTTAGGATGTGATAGAGCCTCTTGGGGTGTCTGGTGTCTTTGTGGCCCACCTCCATGGAAAGATTGACAGCTTTCTGTTACCACTGTTTTTCCTTACAGATTTGGTGTCAAAGAACCAAAACATTCCCCTCATACATGTGCATCCCTTAAAGTAATAAACTTTAAGGCCAGGCCTTTTCATTTCTGCCCTTTTGCTGACATGTAGTAGGCACTCAGTGTTAAATGAATGTATGAGTTTTGCTGCTATAACAAATCACCGTAAACTTAGGTGACTTAATTTATTGTTTTAACTTTTCTGGAGGTCAGAAATCTAAAACAGGTTTCACAGCCAAATCAATCAAGGGGTCAGCAGGCCTGTGTTTCTTTTGAGGACGCTAGAGAAAACTGCCTTTTTCAGTTCTAGGAGCCCTTTGTATTTCTTGGTTTGTGGCATCTCTGCTGCTATCATCTTTGATCTTCCTGCCTCCCTCTTAATATTAAAAACGTTTGTAGTTACATTGGGCTACTTGAATAATTCAGGATAATTTCCCCATCTCAAAATCCTTAATTTAAGCACACATCTACAAAGTCCCTTTTGTTGTTACATAAAGTAACATATTTACAGGTCCCTGTAATTAGGGCATGGAAGTTGGGAGGGCCATTCTAAGTATCTGAAACTCTTAATTTGCTTCTCTTCAGCCATTATCCAATGTAAGATTTGAGTCTTAGCTTTCTGTATTCTAGCACTTAGAACAATGCCTGGTGCATTGTAGGCACTTCACTTTTTAAAGGGACTCTAACCTCATCAGGAAAATAGCCATTTAAAATCTTGAGACTTCAATTACTGGCATATTGTAGTCCTTGAGTGTTTGGTGATGGGGGGTGGCAAAAGGAGGAATGGGTTAGAGTGTGGATTTGTGGATATAGATCTGTATAATATACTTTGGAGGACTCAGAAATTGCATTTTGTAGAAATAATGATTTGTAATAAAAGTACAGGAGATGTTTCATGCTGTGAAGATTGGAAAGTTTCACAAAGGAGGCAGAATTTGGTCACCTGATGATGGGAACAGTTTTGAGAAATGGCATGGAGTTTGGGAAGTGTCAGGTAGGGGTTTATTAGCAAAACTAAAGAGGAGACCGTTTAATAAACACTTGCTCATTTGCTGAGTGCCAGTGTGTCACTTAATCCACATAACTCTAGGTTAGTGTTTCTCCACTAATTAATACTTAACGTGATTTTAATATGCAGCCTAGTCCCCCATTAGGTGGGTTAAGTTTCCCTCACCCAGGATCACCCAGCTAAGTAGTGGGGCCACTGTTAACGATTCCAGGCCTAATTTGAGTGTTAAAAAAAATAACCAAAGGAGCTAGGAAAGGCTAGTGTATAGCTTAATTAGAAAGGAGAAAATCGTGTTGAGAGCAGTTTCAGCAGTTTTTGTGGGATCTGAAACCGTATTACCAGGGATAATCTTGCAGCTCTAGTGGGGAATCAAGTCATGAAGGCAGAGGTTGTATATAACTTAATCTGGTAAGAGTACAGATACTAAGATCCCACTGTGCAAGACAGGGTGCTAGTTGTCCAAGCCAGAGAGGGCACACATGCCTAACCTTTTACAAAGTAACCAAAACAGAGGAGTCAGAACATGGAATTTGGGCAGACTGGTGAGGGAACTCGTCCTTGTCATTTACCAAAAATTAGGCTAATTGGGCATTAACTGGCTAATATTTGAAAGGTACAGCTCAGCAGTACTCTGGAAAGCCTGGTTATTTTGAATGTGAAAAACAGGTCTTTGATACAAGCCGATGTGCAAACAACCAGAAAATTGAGACACCACGCTTGTCCAGCTGCCTTCTCTGCACCCTATACACGCTGCCTGGTGCTGTTTGCCAATGGGCCCCCACTGACCAGTGTTCACCTAGCTTTGTTTCAGGTCGCTCCCCAACCTCGTTTCCCATCCTCAGCAGCAGTGACCTGAAGGCGGAGGCACTCTAGTACTGGTTGAAGAGTCCCGGTGGCCTCTGCTGTCCTAGCTGTCCAAGCACCATCATGGCCTGGAACCCTAGCACTGGGCCCCTTGCTCTGGAACTAGGATGCCTAGCAACTAACTGGTGCGCGTCGGGCAGGCAGGGCCGCAGCCTCGGGAGACGCTGCCCAGGCCCGGCCAAGCGTCACCGGGCTACTGGCTGCGGGTCATGCTCGCCCCAGGACCGGTGAGCGTGGGAGCCCGCGGCCACCTGCACCGCCTGCCCCGCTAGTCCCGCGCTGCCGCCGTAGCCAGCCCACCAACGAGGCCAGGTTGGGCCAGG